CCAGGAAATGCAGGGCTGGGTCAGAGGATGTGGGCCGGAGACCAGTTCCCAGGCGGTGGCCCTGGCCGAAGGCTTCCTCCTGAGTCAGGCAGAGGAGAAGAAGCAGGTAGAACAAGTGAGGGGATTCCCTCCGTGTCCAATTCAAGCAACAATACCTGGCCTTATCCTAAAGGTTCCCTGCCAGACATCTGTCCAAGTGTTTATCACCCAAAAGGGACATTTTACAGCCTCCTTCAGCAGCCTCTTCTACTAGAGAATTTCTGATCCCTCCAGAGAACTCACCAGGTCTGCTGATAGAAGGGTGTGGAGTCTAGGAGTGGGGCAGGGAATTGTTCCTTGGTCCATTCCACTCCCTCTCTTACCTTGCTGCTCCCTGAGTTGGATAGCCTAGACTAGATGGATCTTGTCACATCTCGGAAGCCATGAAAGCCAGAAAAAAAATGCATGTGCTGGCAGAAGCACTACTACATCCTTACTAGGCTTGCCAAGTCCCCCCGGGGGGCAGGGAAACCCCCACCCCAGAGGCCCGTTCCCTGCCGCTGGCGGATCAGGCCCCGGGGGGAACCCCACCCCCAAAGTACGTGACGTGCACGTCACCCAAAAGTGACGCGACCACGCCGGGCACGCTGGGGGCGGGCCCCTGCTCCAGCAGCAGGTAAGACTTGGCAACCCTAATCCTTACAGATGAAGGACTATTTTGAATTTTTTACAAATTATTTGTTGAAAAACTCCACCTGTGAATTTCTACCTGTATTCAACATTACCAGTGAATTTCTTCCTGTTATTTATGGAAAAATCTGTTCTGAGTACTTTATATGTCTTAGTGTTATTAAATTCATTGATTATTGCTTTTAAAATTTGGGCACATGCATTTTTTTCTTGCTTTCGTATATTGCTGTGCCAGTGCCTTTCATCTTGTATCACATCTCGGAAGCTAAGCAGGATCAGTCTTGGCTAGTATTGATGGGGACCTCCAAGGAATACCAGGGCCATGACACAGAGACAGGAAATGGCAAAACACCTCTGAAACGTAGTCTCGCTCGCCACCTAGTGGTGCATAACGCTAAAAGACCTAGAACTTCTGTCTGCTGGACAATCTTAGTTTCTCCTGGCTATACTACACACACTTTTTGCTTCAGAAAAAGATCCCAATAAAGGAAAACTATATCCTAACTGCACTCAATTAATTTTTAAATATTGAAGTGAACAGAATACAAAAATTATTCGTGAAGTACAAAATACATGAGTACAAAATATATACAGGTATTCAACAGTTATTGGTTGTTGTATAGGTTGAATACCTGTATATATTTTGTACTCATCTTATGTATTTTGTATGGAGCTGCGGTGGCTCAAGTGGTTAAGATGCTGAACTGCAGGCTGTGGCAGCAGTTCAAGACCTGGGTGCCGCAAGACGGGGTGAGCTCCCGTCTCTAGTTCCAGCTCCTGCCAACCTAGCAGTTCGAAAGCAAGAAATTGCAAGTAGATAAATAGGTACCACTTCGGTGGGAAGGTAACAGTGTTCCGTGCGCCTTGGTGTTTAGTCATGCCGGCCACATGACCACGGAAACGTCTTCGGACAGCGCTGGCTCTTCGGCTTTGAGATGAGCACCGCAACCCTAGAGTCGGATTTGACTGGCTTTCGA